AATAACTTGTAATAGGATAATAATGCTTATTTTTCTTAAGTGAATGTGACGTTTTTTTAACAGAATAGCGATATGCTTTTATTATGAAAAACTTTCCCACTGCGATATTTTTCTAATAGAAATGCGATACTTTTTTCATATGATAATATGGCACAATACATTAAAGAGGCATTATCTGTCAAATACATGTTCACCGATTTGACTCAAATTCTCATATTTGATTTAAAACATACTAAAACGTGTATCCACATTACAATAAGTCTGAAATAAACAATTAACAGTGCGTGGACTTGATCATATATATCAACATTTCGTGTGTATTTTAGTCTAGACGCCATCTAATTAACCATCGAGATGACCTCCGAAGACTGCCGACGGTCACATAACCCGATATAAACATAAACATAAATAGATAGCGACCTCGTGCAATCGGACTTTTCTATGTCTATTTGATTTCATGTTAAAGGTTGAAAAAAATAAGTTTATCATCGTTTTACCTGTATAAGAATGATTTTTGTGGACCGATTCAGTCAACGAAATGGTTCATCTTTGTTTCACTTTCAATGTTGACATTCTTTTCTATTTAATGGCTGACCACGACTAGTACATGCGTAACCAATCTCGAGCTAATGGGTTAAATTGAAGGTCACATGAATACGAATTCAATGAGGTCGAATTATTCACTTGCAAGTGAATAATTCATCAACGATGCTTCTTAGCTTATTTCGACAAAATTGAACTAAACTGGCTGCTGAAAGCGAATTATTATTTCACTATTTCACTTTCATTAATGATTGAATAAAAAAAAAAAAAACATATTTTAATTTTTTTCATATCTCGTTGCTAATGCCCCTTTAAAACAAAGTAGAAACATCGACAATTATTCATGACAGGTTCGATGGTACAGGCAAAATATCATTGATGATTTACGTACAAAATAAACCAATTATACGCTTATAAATAAGTAAACACGATGTTCAATATCCCCTGCGGGTCGATCAATTTTGTGTTTACAAATCAATATTGCACAGTATTTACCACCTTTCAACTTCCGCTGAAAAAAAATATCTGGCTAGAGTCAGTCTAGAATAATAAAGTGTTGACACAGATATATGTATCATCTGTCGTGTCTATATGTATTTTTAGATAGTTAAATGCAGATTTTGAAATTAAAACGGAAATACTTTACCATGCATTTATTATGCAAAACATTCAAAGTCAATGAAACATGACTGAAGTTGCAGGGCCAAAAAATCTCCCTGGAAATGATATTGGATATGATAATTCTGTTACAACTGCATACCAAATATCGTTGAACTATTGTCAATGGTTCTCCTTAAACTGACATAATCAAAAACTCTAACAGTTAAAACGTAAAATAACAAAAATACCGAACTTTTCAAATGGCAAAACTTTCGCAGTCAATGAACTATCGTTCAGGGGCGAGGCCTTATTATCTCCATAAAAATATGCCAATGCTAATACAAATGCATACCACATATCCATTAACTTATCGTTAGTGGTCCCCGTTTGATAAAACTCACCTTATCAAAAAAAAATTTAAAAAATGTTGACGCTGCCGACGCCACCGGAAACAGCACGCCTCCATTTCTTCGTAGAGGCGAGACAAAAATATTTATACTAAGATTTTTTCGCCCTCTTATATTTGGAAAATCTATATTTGATGTAATGTTATTGCAATTTTATCGAATTATGCATGAAGATTAAAAAGGTCAAGAACTGCATTCGATAGGTTAAAATGTGGAAAGTAAGAACATATTTTTTTAGTTTGAACTAGGAATCGTTTTTCTTTTCCATTACTTAAAGTAAGTTTTATTTTCCAGCGATCATTTGACATGCCTTAAAACTCGTGTTTAGAATAAAGATATTACCTAAACACATTTCTAACTAAACACATTAAATGTACACATGTCTTGAATATAAACAGTTTTAAATGTGTTTAAGAATTAAAAGTTTTTAAGACTTTTAAAAACACTAATTTCTAAGCTAAATATAATCCTAAACACAATCCTAAGCACTTTCTTAGTTCTAAACATGTTCCGAAATTAAACATGTTAACAAAAGTGTCCAAACAATGTATATGCATTTTGAATTGTGTTTAGGATTTAAACACCATTTATACAGTTTACATGTAGTAAGTATATCGGAAATGCATTTTTTGACGTGGTCATATAGAAATGTGATAGATGTTATGTCGATGCCACCAATTTGAACAAAAATTCGGGCCGGTCTTTATAACATGATTTGATTTTATCCTTCAGATATAAAAAAAGTATAACAAAAATACCGAACCCCAAGGCAAATTCAAAAAGGGGAAGTCCATAAAAACTGACAAAATCAAACGCTATCAATCAACGGAACAAATGAAAAACATTTGCCGTGATATAACTTTTATCTTATACAAATATGTTTGAAGAACAATTAAGAATTTCGATAGATCAAGAACAATTAAGAATTTCGATAGATGTTATTTTTTTTGTAAGCAATGGGCTAAAACTGCTGATACGTATTGTTACAATAAGAACATCGCAACTACATTAAAAAAATATCACAAAATACCTTTAAAACGACCTCGAAAGGATTATAATAATCGATTTCACACTCTATTAATTAATGGTAATACATAAAAACTCTTCTGTGTGTCGCGTGAATTAATTTCGGACTGAACGTATTTATATATTTTAATTTAAAAAAAATTATTGCAAAAAACATCTTTTTCCTCATGGAGTGCCTGCATATTTACAATTCCATATTAGAAAATATCGCGACTTCACATAAGAAACGGTTTTCTCGATTCGCACTTTCCATAGACTGAAAAGTATTTCTAGAAAATGAAAATAAAATGAGAGTGTCACCAACTTTGTTTTTTTGTTGCATATTAAAGAATAATTAGTAACACCCTTAATATATATTAATACTATTAATATATTGATATCATTTAACCATCTCTCCCTATTCTTGGAAAAAATCGGGATATTTTCCGACCCATTTGGCTCACCACAAACAATATTTTTATATATTGTATAGTAAAAAAATCTCTCTCTATTTGTTTTTAATATTTTTACAATAAGACATTACAATATATATATATATATATATATTTTCCTTGTAAATTGAAATCTATGCTAATAAAATGCATTTACATATTGAAGTTTGAGAATTTTAGTAAATATTTATATCAATCACTTTAATTCCCAAATGGACGTCAGGATTCTCTTTTCCCCGAACTATTAGTATCTTAATGTCACGATATAACATGCAAGGCACTTATTCCATTTTCCTGACAACTAAACCATTGGTTGACTGCAATGATATACATGACAAAAATCACAGACGAAGCTCCCGACATAGGACAACCACACGAATATATGTGGCGGGGATAAACTACCTTTTTATAACTCTACCCTCCCCTTTTTTAACCTCAACAGACTGACAAAGGATACACGAAATAACATACAATGAATTCAGGAGCTTTTTATAATAAAAGTGAATTCAATAATATTTAAAATCATACATCACCAATATATAACATTTAAAATAATTAGGCATGCATACACTTCTTGTGAATCATTTCTTCTTTAAGGTAACAAAGAAAGTTGATAAACCTCGTTTTTGTCGACATCATGGAATTATTTGGATGTCAGGAGGGTGACAATGGTCTTTGCCGTCAGGGGCCAAAAGCGACCTAAAATGTTATGTATCGCACTGGGTATTGTTTCTTTCTTGTAGTTAAAAAATATAAAAGACCAAAAACCAACAAATATTGGAGGCATTAATGTGATTGTCATTTTAGATTAATTTAGAAAGGCTGCAACGACAAAAGAAAATAGATTTAAGAATAAAAGATAATTGTCTGTTGCTGGTTTTTGTTCGCACTTAGATATCATTCATGTTTATTCCCCAAAAACGAAGATGAAAGTATGTCTGTACCCGATTGAATTCAACATACTGAAGGTCATCGCTCCCGAGTTTCTTTATCTAATTGATAATTAAAACTATAAACAAAATCATATCTCTGGTTCAAATAATCGACACAGCTAGTATATTTTATTCATTTATAGATTATAATCTTGTATGTACTGTAATCATGATACATGTACTATGTTCGTAGGTCAAGGTCAATATCAAACATTCAAGGTCAATATCTAACGTAAAAAGCATAGTGATCAATAGCCAGGACATGAAATGTTCTCGTTATTTGACTTTATAAATTTATCTTTAGTAAAATATTCGGTAAATACAAAGATACTTATGTTTGATCTAAAGCCCATTATCAATGGGAAAATTATATTTGAAGATCAATAATTATGTGTTGAGAACGTATACCGGACTAAAAAAACGAAAACGTTAAAGTAATGGTAAAAATAATGTACTACGTCCATTTGGCTTCAGTTTGAAATAATATATTTGCCCTTAATGAACAACATGATATTCCAGTGCATCCCCATAGCAAAGAAATGAATTAAATATGCCATCAACTTGAGATCTATTTCATCGCGAATATTTAGAAAATATCATTTGAAATTTTATTGTTCAAATATATCCAAATTCTATGAAAGTATAAATTGTTGATTCGAACGGTAATTTTTTTTAACTGGGTTGGATCTCCCCGCAGTCGAAGCATATCCTACAATTTGACACCTTGGTTTTAAAAGTTGTTTGAGTATAATACCAAAATTTTGTGATAAATTCAACATCAAAATATATTGTGGATCTATTCTTCACGAGGTTTTCCCTAAAATTTCTCCATTCATAAATCAACGAGTATTACATTAGAGTTTTGAAATGGAAATACTATAGGCGGATTCCATGGTAACTAAGGGAAATGTTGCTTTAACCGAATCTCTATTTCTTGAAAAAATCATATAGATAAAATACATAGAGCAGCAAGGCATAAAACGTCTCATCTCAAAACTATAACATTTGCAATCAAAATGGCAAATATTCTTTTAACTTATTCACCGTAAAAAAGAACTTACTCGCTAATGCCCATAGCTCTCTTCGTGAAATGGCTTCTCCTGTTGCGTTGGTATGGTTACGACAGAGTTCAGATACAAATAACGGCGTGTTAGTTGTAGGTGTATTTAAAGTTATTTGAGACATTGTCGTTTCTAGTGTCTTGTCGTTTGTCTGTTCAGTAGTTAAAGATTCCACAGTTGACATAGGTGAGGTTGAATCTGTATGAGGAATTGAGGTTCCGTTAGCCATAGTTGTTGTATTTTCTTGTAGAATACTTTCACTTTGATCAAATGCACTTTTCATAAAAGATTGCAAAAATAGGTTTTTGAAATTTATACCGTTTAGAATATCGTTAGCTTCTGCTATGAAATCGTCTGCCTCTTTTGGAGTTATTGAAATTTTCGGACGCTTTATATTCTCCATAATCTTCATGTAATCGAATCGTATGTCGGACATTACAACACTAGCTATAATATTTAGAATACAAACATATTTCAGAAACATTTTTGGGTAAAATTTCAAATGCACTGTAAAACACACGTCAAGTTGATCATAAATAAATATACATAATATTTCTAATATTCATACAATGTGTCACACATATTATGAGATTATCTCTTCTTTTTGTCCAATTATATACCTTTATTTGTTAATCAGGAGTCACAGTGTGAACAATTGTGATCATAGATTTAAAAATGTTTCACTAAGCACAGATAACAAGTCCAAATCAAACGTGGAAATGTACTCTTTTTATTATCTTCTTAAAAAAAGTTTCACCCTTTAACCCACGTATATGTTATGGTTTAATTTAAGTTTTCGATGGGAGTCTTTTTCCCAGATTCACTTTTATTCATTCATTTGCAATACTTTGTTAAACTTCTGTTTGATAAGGCGATATATTATTTATACAATTTTATATTGGTGGGTAGCTGCTCTGGAAGCCAAAAAACATCCACATTGAAAATGGTTATTTTCTGATAATTTTTGCTGGTTTGATAGTATGTATCAATATTTCCATACAATTTTATGTTAGCACCTAAAATTTGGGAATAGTAAACTTTTCGTTCTGTTATCTATAATCGGTAAACAAGACGATAGCTGTTTATGAAAACAGAAACATCAGTTTGAAGAACGCTGACAGTAAAAGAGAGAAGTAAACTCGTTCTAGTCTATTCGAAGGCTTTAGTCAATTTCAGCGACATAACTTTGAATAGGAAAACGGCTCTTCCATTGAAATGACATCAAAAGCTAATATCAGCCTCCGTATCAGCTCGTTGAACTAACATGTGCTGTTCCGTTTATGCCATATCAGCGATGCAAAAATAAGGTACGCGATAGATATAGATTTTACCACTACATAAAGTGTGATACGATATTTATCCACTAGAGACAGTTAAATTTTCATATATTTAAAACTCGAGGCTCGCCGAGCGTTTTAAATATTTAAAATTTAACTGTTGAGAGTGGATAAATATCGTATTGCACGATATTTGGTGGTGGAATCTGTTTCTGTAATGATTTTTAGACAAAATATAGACAATCTTAATCCTTTTTCCGAATGATCCGTAAAAAGATGTGTTTCATGTGACATCATCAGGCATGGTTGCCTTTTTTTCATGACGTCACAATAGGAAATTCAGAGGAAAGCTAAAATTTGACGTCATAATCGAATTTTGACCAATAAAGATTTGAGATCACACGAACCACACGTTGATTAAAAAAAAACAATTAACAGGTCAGGAAAAGAATATCGGGTAAGAATCAGAGAATCATGAATGAATTGTACAGCTCTTTTGAAACATCGCCTCGTAAACAAAATTGTCCTTAAGAATGTACTTAGGTGAAATTAAAAAAATCTAGAATTTAAAATTGATACTATAAGTCAGAAGAGCATTAGTTAAAGAACAAAATAAGCTAAATATATTGATAGGTTATGAAGTTCCTTTTCGAGATATTTAATTTTTTTTAAATGGCGGGAAAAGGCTGACTCGTACTTTTACCTTACATTTGCATTGGTAGAATTTGGGTCTCAAATCGAAAGAAAAGAATCTAGAATCTGCTTAAATTTTGGTAAATGACCTTTTATGATCTATTGAAGTCTTATATGAAAAGAAAAATGGGTGTTATGGGGCAAAATATTTTACCCTGTATCGTAGGAAAACAACCAAAGAGTCCGAACATCTGACAAAAATTCATAAACCTCACCCGAGTACATCCTTAAACCAGACTCACCATTACATATTTTTGAGGAACTACGAAATCTGACAACGAATAACAACGCTTCACTTGGCTCGTCATACTTATAAATTACAGAATATTTCCACAATAAAGGTAATGAATTTATTTGAAAAAAAGTATCATAAAACCACAACATACCGATTTGTTAAATCATCAGGTCACGTTTTGTGTATCTTTATTTAAACTGAAACAAACTGATCAATTTAATGTTAACTATTGGAAATGCACAATTAGTTTGACTGATTAGTGTTGTACCGATTTATTTTGTCATGATATCTTTAAAATGCTCAATCTTTATATTCGGTCATTACAAGTTGCAGTGTCAACATATCGGTGAGTTAGGTTAATATATTTATTAAACGGGTAGATTCTTTCGAAAGTCAAAAAGATCTAAATAATGAATACTTTAATATATATATATATATATCGTTTTTCTAAGATATAACTATTTCAAAGCAATTGAATGTTTTTGTAGTTTCTGCATAATTTCTTTTGTTTGTAGTACACGTTTGATTTCCATATATAATTCATAGAAAGCAAGAAAGAACGCAAAATACAATTCACCGTTTCAGAATCTAATGCATTCTGGGTAATATTTTCAAAAGTGTACACCAAAGCGTCATGATTGGTTATCAACGTCATAAACAATTGTAATTCAACCAATGACGTGACGTTATTTTCATTTTAGGGTACGAACAATAAAATTACCCATAGTCCTTTAGATTCTGAAACGGCCTATTGCATCAATTTTTAATATTTTTGGTATGCATACAAACAAGACCAAACTTTGAAAACTAGAAGATATAAGACAAAAGAATTCGTGCATAGATCACATTTAACTTTAACTGCAACTTTTATTATAGGATTAAACGCCTTTTTAAAGGAATTTATTGGTGTATAACCTCTGTCACAAGTAAATTGTGTATTTGTGTCATAGAATTGGCCTGGCGCATGAATATATTTGTTGGTTAACGCAAAAATGTGTACTCCATGAAATTTGCTATCTGGTAAAAAATAAACTACAAAAAACACTTATTATCATTCAAATGAATGTTTTGTATTTATTATTTAATTTAACGATTAACGCGAAGTGAAAATGAATATTTTTAACGTCGGGCCGGATTGTGTTATTATAGCCGCCATCTTGTTTACATTGGTTACAAAAAGAAGTTCGGTCAACGTCGTCTATCGAAAAATAAACAACGTCAAGAACAACTACCGAAAGTCCTCTCGACCAATCATATCAAAGTATTCCCTAATATGCAAATTATATAAGAATTATTTAAAAAAAATATTTGATTTTTGAGCACATTTTAAAAACTTTCTAAACATGACTTTAACACAAACTGTGGTACTCTTCCATCATTTACTATTTTTTGTCAGAAGGCATGTTTACAAAGAACAATAGTTTCTTACATCGTTTTCAACGTTTAGAGGTGAAATTCCATTCGCTGCAGGAAATTTTTGCACTCTGAACTTATGTACAAGGAAACAGTTGTGATGCGTTTGTTTTGTTTCAGAGTGATGCGAGAAGTCGAAGGGCTCTGGTCAATCTTAATAAAATGTTACTAGGTGGATAGTTACACGTAAATTATCATTAAAATCGTTAATGTAAAAAAAGAACAACTGTTAAACTTACCAAAACCGAAACAAAAAATGCACAAAACTTACAACACCACCAGCAACTAATTGTTGCATCAATCAAAGCGTCAAAATAAAGTTTAATGTTAACTATGCTATATCGTAGAAAGTTTTTTGGTTGAATGATTGATTCATAGATGTCATGTTTACATAGAAAAACAAAGGATACAGGGTATCCATCCATGACACAAAATCAGTTCATACACAGCAAAAACACACAAAAAGCAAAGGAACAGCGCTTTTATTGCTTTTCTTCATCTCAAAGTCACAGGGAGGCTGTGTACCTATATTTTTAAAAATAGAAACAATAATCATTAATCTTTCCATCAATTTGTATGTTAAGTGTGTTGTTCTTTTCCATTGGAATTCAAATTTTTTGTTTTGAAATATAAGCACCTGTTACCTTTACTGTTCGATTTTTGGCGGAATTATATCATATGGTAAAGAAAAAAATTCTCATGATTAAATATCTTGACAAGGTATTTTTTTTTCAGGTTAAAGTAATACAATGATGTTATATTTCGTTTTCGTTTGGACACTTTGTATAACTGATATTTTAGGAAGACCTTTGGACCCATATGGTCCTGCTCCTGTTCTACCTGCCCCACCAATGACGATGGACAGAAAACATGGATTAGGACTACGAAGTCAGAGTATATTGTTTCTACCGCAAGGTTTAACTAAACAAACACCCGATGACGTGCCTGGCCCTCGTAGATCACCACCTTTTAGAAACGAAAGACAACATAACAATGATTTGTTTCAGTATGGCCCATTAACAACAAATACAGGTGCTAGAGTCAGGTCTCCGATTCCGAAACGTTCTTCTGATTTAAGTAATTATTCATCATTTATGGTAAGGAAAAATAACAGGAGATCTAGTTTTCATGGTTCACAGAATCCCTATTTTAGTGGAGTAATTGGTAAAAATGTTCATGGCCCACCAACTAAAACCGCGTTAGAGAGAAGAAGGATACCTACCATCACATTCAAGAAGATTCCAAGAGTTGTAATGAAAAAGGTGACTGTTAAGGTACCTGTAGTAAGAATGGTTTCACAAATCGTTGATTTGAAAACCGGGAAGATTCTGGGTGATGTAGGAAAGTCTAGATCTTCACATCAATGAAGAGATTAGTTGCATGATTTCATTTAACATTTAAAAGTATCCGGATCGATATTTATTATATATTGCCCGTTCAAGAAATAAATCTATTATATAACTTGAAATATGTTTGTTTCTGTAAATCCAATTATAATACTTAATAATTTAATTTTGGATGTAACGCGTCTTCCGATTGGCTGACGTTGTTTTGTTTATCAGCTCATAGACATAATTTTGTCATGTGACCATGACGTTATCAACGTTTATT